AAAAAAAAAAAAACAAAATCTCTCGCCTCTCTCCTCTCTCAACTGTCGTCCAGAAGAAGGGAAAAAAGGGGTATGCGGTGTTTTAAATATTGTACCAGTGGCCATACCGGTACGCGGTATTATCGGTCAGATCAGTAATATCGATGGTATTATCCGACTAACAAATATAATTATATACATAAAAATGTATGAACCCAAATGCAAAGAAGTAAAACAATAGATTATTATAATTATTAATATCAATTTGTCAATGAGATAAAAATAAAATATTCTAACTACAAATTTAAATTTTATATTTTTAAATTAATAAATTTTATTTATTTTTTATTTGTTCACCGTATTTTGGACCGGTCAACAAATTTCCACGAATACCTTCAATATTTTGAAGTAATTTTAATTGTCTTTACCAATTCTTCTACACTTTATTGAGGGCAAAACATTCTGGAGAACAAAAATCATCACTGTCTCACCACCAATTCACCAATTCTCTTGCACTTTTCCGGGCAAAACAATATAGAGAGCAAAGATCTTCATTATCTCGCTATTTTGAGGCAATATCCAAATCATTTCAAATTAAAAGCACACCACAATTCACCATGCCATTTCCACTCGGGGTGAACCCATATTCACTTTCGTCTCCAACTTCAGCAGTCCTGCTCAATCCGCAGTCCACATCTAAGACGTCATCGCGAATCCAAAGTCCACCAACCTGCCTACGCCAAATTCGCCCTTTAAGAAGGCAACATCGCCAGAGATGGTGGAAGTGCGGTGTCTCTAGCACAGGGAAATCATATATCACCTTGTTTTCCTTCTCGCCGCACATATAACCATCATCGCCTGCCTCTTGCTCCTTCATAAGGGCATCCAATGCGAACCTAGACTTTTATGTGTTAATTCTTCAAAATAATGTAAAAATTTCCTTCTTCTCCGCATTTTTCACGTAAAATTGCCTCTGCCACCATCCAGCACACATTTTTCAAATTGAGGAAAACATTGACAAACCTAATTCAATATGTAGGGCAAAAGTGTAATGTTGCATTTTAAGTGTTGTTATCAACCTTGAACCAAACATGTTAGTGGGCCTCATTGTATCAAATGTATAAAGTGAATAAATGCATTGGAAATAAATCAAGCTCATTCCATTGTTACAGCCAAGCCCACCCTTGGTGGATAGGAATGCATAGATTGGTATGGACTCTTTCAAATGAA